ATGACATGCAGCAAATAAGACAATCATGTGCTCAAATTTCTCGGCCGACCCCGTATATCCAAACTTGGCGTTTCTCCATCTAAAGTGAGCATCGTGCGTGAACCCGAACTTGAACGTCATCGGTTGTTGGCGTGCGTGTAAGGATTCAAACACTGTAACGGCATGCCGTAGAACTGCACCTGCTGTTGACCCTGGAGTTGGCAACCTGCATGTAATACACGGGTCACTATAGATTCTGGCGAAGACATCTTGAGAGCGCGGCAAGCTATTGATTTCTAGATCTTCACATTTGTGTTTTTTCGGAATCCCCTGGCACTGTGCTGAAAACTCTCCGCTGGAACGAGATGGCAATGGGTACATCTTTTCCCACGCATATGGGCCCAACGAAGCCTGGTTGGAGTGCATACTGAACAGCAGTTTGAGTGAAACCTTCAACACTGCCATCACATATATGGGATGCAGTTGGATGCAGCCATGTTGCAGGTCTATGGCATGAAAGTAGATCAATCAGCTCTTCTTCAGGAGTTTCCATTGGGCACACACGGTTCACCCTATACGCGCTAACTACGTTTTTGTTTGTTTGCCAACATACCTGATAGCAGGATGACCTTTGCATGCAGTTCAGCTGTTCAAGTGTTAGCACTCGTCTTGCTTTGAAACACAAACAACGGAGCCAATACCTTTTGGTGCATACAGCAATTAGTGCAATCGTGCAAGAACTCTACAAGACTTGACTTCGATTCATATGGAGCTGCATTGGGCAACCCGACCCCTTCACCAATGTTCGCTGCAAGAGCCCGGGCAGTGTGGCCAGGACCTGGCAACCCGAGTTTAACGGTTCAAGTTGTGCCATTGCTGCATGTTGTTGCAGCGTGTTCACTCGATCCACGTACTCCTTTATAGATCCATGTCATTGTTTTTTTGCAACTGCCACTCCCCGACTACCATGATAAGTTCATGGCAAGTTCATGCCGGTTTCTTCGAGCATCTCGTTGAAACTTGGCTGAGGGATGAGTCAAATAAAGAATGAACAATTTCAAACCCGAGTCAAGATAACCCTATACAGACATATACGGTATAGCTTGAAAAACTTTAGCCTATAAGATCTATAAGGCCCGTCCAACCCAGCACTTGTAAGATACTACCACACCGGCCCGTCACCCCTGAATTTGCAGCGATCAACTACTTCACCGTGTTATCACACAGCGAACCAAAATATATATGCATGGGATACAGAAGCTCACTGGTCACTCTCCTTCTTCACCTTGCTGAAGTGGCGTTTTGCATTCCTGGGCATGTGCAGTAAATGTGATTGAAAGAAATAATGTCATTGGGCACACGTTTTGTTTTGCACATACTCATCCGCGTGCATGCATGCCAATGCTGCGGGCCAATGCTGCTGCATGAGCTTAGCTGTTGCTTTCTTTGAGGACCAGACCGCACCTTGGCCTCGTTCTGTGCGATCTTTGTACACCTGCATGCACAACAAGGGTTGACCACCTGGGACCTGTTTATCATGCTACACGGATGCATCCAGGGCACACAAACGTGGAGCTTTTCATCATAGCTTCCGATTTAGTGACCCACCTGAGTTTTGTCCACCCCCAATTAAACTGTTAATTTGGAAATCGAGTTCACAAAAGAATGATTTCCACAAACACTAAACTCATACTGCCATGTGAGCCACTCTTGTTTGAAATCATCCCTCTCACCCTCTGCCAGAAGCTCCGAGAGTTTGGAGTATTCAGTGTCCAGGATCTCCAGGTCACTCTCGAGGGCCTTTACAGACCTGGGCAGTCACCCACTAGATAATAAAATCAGACTATCGATCTCTCTATGGCCTCTTGGTGGTTCATAAGAAGTTCATTGTGTATATAGCAATTAACTCATGCAAATATTGAGAGTAGGACTTGGTGGCCATATCATCGACATAGTTCCTCTTCAAATCTGAAACGAGAGATCTGACCTTTGCCGATTTCTGGAGGACGGAGTCACAGAACCGCCGGAATGTTTCCTTGCCACCATTGGCCTGCCCAGGCAGAGACAACAACTTTGCGAAGGTGAACAAGCAGCTGTCAGACCTCAGCGGCAGCCGCAGCCGGCGCAGCATTGCTGGCAACCATGCGCTTCTGGAAGCTGTCCAGGCCATCCGTGTTCGGGGCGGCGATGTCAGACGTATCATGGTCCTGCCGGTTGTGCACACCCGTGCTTTAGTACTTAGTTGGTTTGATTTGGATTGCAAGCTGCTTTCAAAATGATGAAGAAAATTATATGTTTAGACGGGTTCACACGCACATCCAGTCCATACCACTGTGCGTGCGCGATCTCTCATTGACCTCCTTCTGCTCACGCTGCCCAGTCTCCCGCGTAGCAACCCAAAATTCTTCTTCACCACTGTATTTGTTTCTCCTCATCACGCTTTTGATTGGATCATCATGGCGGCTGTGTTAGGAGTTTGCATGTATGCGCATATCATACATTACGCTGACCACCAGGACAAGGCTCCGGACAAGGTTTTTCGGATCCTCCCGGCAAACTTTGATTGCGCCTTCCACCTTCTTCCTGATCAAGCCCGCGTCAGACGATGTGCGGGCGTATGATTCAACAAAATATAGCTCTAGGGGGACCATATAAAATATATCTCAATGGGTCTGAGTGGCGCGGACCACTTGAGCTCTTTGAGCATGTCATCCTTTGAAAACCATCCATGTTCCACTGTATTCTTCTTGGTATCACTGATGACATACTTGTGCTCACACATGCGAACAAATTCCTCCTGCAAAGGGACTGACCAGATTTTAACTGCTTGGCAAAACAGTGTTTGGGTCCCTTTCACCAACGGTTTCTTGATTAACACGTGAAAACTCATGGGAAGGGGATTCTGTATATAGTTCTTTCTAGCTTGAGCTGGCTAACTGATTTTGTACTGCAGCCCTCGATACATTTCAACGAACAAAGTGTATAAACACCGCTACAAAGCAACAAACACTCAAAACCACCATCCTTGTTGAAGTCAACAGACTCGAACTCCTTTGCCAACTTGCCCTTGTCACCGTTCAACCAGAGCTTGTGCATCCAGTCGGGAACCTGGATCTTACCTCCAGCCTTTACCTCACACATGCGCCTCAACTTGGCTTTGATCCTGGCATCGTGCTTCGCAGCCTCCTTAGCGGAATAGCGGCGAGAAAATCCTATGTAGCCACTAAGATTCCACCCATATGTGTCATATCAATCCTGACCCAACATGCCACCAAATAGCAGATTTGTCCATGGACTTCTGTTCCGCATTCCCTTCATGGCGTGTCTCCGGTTCTGGTGATTTGCGTTTGGTCCCACGGGGTTCCCCCTCGGCTGAAGACGACTTATCAGCCGACTCTGGTCGTTCCCCATGGACCTCGGCTCCCAAAAGCTTCATGGCCGTCAAGGAATCCATTTGGCCGGAGCCCCACAGCTCAACCACTTTGGACACCATAGCCTTGGACAGGCAACAAAATTAGAGAATACCCCGCCCCAATTGCAGTTTAACACAGCGGTCATTTGCCACATAGCTCTCATGCATTGTATGATCCATTACCTTTAGGGCGGGGGGGCTTGATCAACCGAATGTGCGCTCGGTGCGATAGAAGGTGGAGTGGGGCTTGTCGGTGCAGATGGGAGATCAGGAAATGTCCCGGGCTGTGTATCATCCAACCAAATCACAGGATCTGCATGCTGTGGAGTAGCCTCGCTTGGGTCAACAAAACCCTTCAACTCATAGACACATGCACTGATGGTTGCACGTGTTCGTCTTTGTGCAAAAGAAACACATCACTCAAGACTATATAGACTCGACTACCAGCAAGTGACCACTTTTGTAGGTGGTGGCAATGCCTGAGATTGGGCACGCTCCTGTGCCTTCTCAAGCTTCTCAAGATCCATTTGCTCAAGGTCTTCGCGGGCTTCAGCCTCTAGAGCAAAAACCAACTAGGAGCTTAAAGGCGGAGGTTTGAATGTGTGCTTTTAATTGAAAAGTCTGAGAACGAAACGGCCGATTGCTGTGCTGCGATGTCTGCCAACTGCTTCTCCATCTCCTGCCGTGGAAGAATGACCGTCATTGGGATCAAAAGTTAAACACTCACCAAGTCGAGCAAGCCTGAAGGGAAGCAATATCATCAGGCAACTCCGCATTCATGTCGTTCAGCAAATGTGCCAACCCCGCACCAAGCTCGGGCATGCTCCAAGCACGGGACTGAAAGGTAGCAGCGCTAGATGCTCTGCCAAAGTCCATGTTTTGATCGGGTGAAGGGGAACGTCACAGCACAAACCACTAAGCTAGAATCCCACTTGCCTTTCAAGCCAAAGGAACATCCACCCTCAGAGCAAGAACAATCCTATATACCTCTCACTGGCATTTCAAAAAGTCCATACGCTGTGACTAGAAAGCTTTTTTGTCACAGTCCAACCTTGACTCGAAGCGACCATACGAAGCCCATATCGAATTGTTTGCATGGAACTCTTAAGTTGATCCATCCCTTCCATCTCAGACAGGGCAACGTTGACAAAAAGCAGGTAGAAAGGTGATGAAGTCACATAAAAACTATGTTAAACATAGCCCCAAAAAAACCAGGTAATTGCAGTAATACCCCATAAAATTTTACGGGTTATGTACGGATTTTTACGGGGTTTGTACGCCTGTGTTACGGGTTTGATTTTACGGGCTGAAAATTATGGTGTGGTTACTCCCTTTTACGGTGTTTTTACGTATCTTTACGGGTTGCTTGCAATTTACGGGGTATGAGCTCCCAGATTTGCTTGGTTCCTTCATGGTCCTACCAATTGCTCTTCGTTAGTCTGTAGTCACCCATCTGAGATCAGAGAGATTGAATTAGACTCCAAGGCCTTTGAATTAGACTCAAAGGCGGCCTGGCAAAACGTCCCGAAAACTATGTGGGATTGAGAGGAGTTTTCCACCCCTCAGATAGTGGCAGACATCTTGGATGGCTGCCTCCGGCCACAGGTCTTCAAAGAACACTCTCCAGCATGCGCTCTGCAGGAGGCACAACTTCGGGCAAAGGAGGGAGGCCTTTCTTGTCCTGGATGAGGTCTTCGAAGAGCTCCACTAGCTTCAATCCAAATCTGGGAGGATATTGCCTCAAACAACCAGAGGATGGAAGGTTTGAGAGTTCCTGGATTGTTTCGGGGTCCCTTGTGACACGAGCCTTTAGTATCCACAGTTGAAAGTGGCAATGAGGAAGTACATTTGGAGAACATGGTAAACAAACGAGTCCATGAGAAAGACTGCACATCTCAGAAACTCTTGAGAGAGCAGCACTGAGGAACAGACTCAGACTCACGAAGTGAAGCACTGCCTTTGTATCGGTTCTTCCCTGCAGAGTCTCGATACTTGATAGTGGTTTTGGACTTCTTGCTGGGATCCTCTTTCACTCGTTTCGCCCAACCCTTCAATGCACCAGTCCACAGTGATTGAATCCATTTTGAATTTGACAAAGCATACTGCGGTTTTGGCGTGGGCCCTCCGTAGGCCAGCATGTACCACACCACCTTGAAGACCTGAAGCATTGCTGGCAGTTGGTACTGGACTCTGGGCTGGATGGGGTTCGGAGTAGGTCGAATGGTTCTTTGAAGGGTAGTCCAGCAACAGTGTAGCACAAACTTTACAAACATGCATTGAAACACTGTGTCAGGGAGCAACGGCTTTACGAGTTCTACACCAACGGTGGACTTTGCAGGGCATGGAAGCCAGAATTGGCACTAGTCACTAATACGGGTCCCTGTTGACAGGACGGTTTTGGCAAGACCCCCGAGAATTGAGATATTTGACATCAACCGTTTCAATGTACAATTTAACCAATCAGTGATCGATCTGGTTGGGAGAAATTTGGGATGAGCCCTGAAGAGGACATGGAGGAAGGAATTTGACATGCACCACAGGATTTGGTATGAACTGGCCCTTCTGGAGGTTGCAAATCACTCCCTTCCTCCACCTTTTAAACACACCCATGATTGCTAGGTTGATGCAGCCTTGGCTTCAATCCATAAGGGCGGATGCCAAATGCTTCACAGTATATATTTGAAAAGGCTTTCGGTGATTTCCTACATGAGGCTATGTCTCCATCAGGTATGAGGCAAACCCCTTTGTCATTACAAATTTATATATGGACAGACCTATATAGGTGTTTTTCGATGTAGCGATGACCAATCACTAGCTGCCTTTGCAACCCTGGGCGATGCACAATGCATTGGAACCAAAAAGACCCAAAAGCTCATTGGACCATTGAGGCCTGGAGTGTCACGAAGGGGCTCCATGATCTAAGGTAAAAAGCTTGATTCTGGACCTCCAATGCAGCCTGGCCCGAACACCCTGGCTGGAAGAGCTTCGAGGCCCCGGCGGAGTGGTCGCCAGCGCTTTCGGACAACTTATTCGCAAACTCCCGCCACCGTGGATAGTATTCAAAAACTGAGTTCTTGGGTTGCTCGATGCTGAAAGTACCATTACAGCAAACCACGAGCATCGCTAGCAATACCACCCTGCCAGGCAAATACATAACCGACCATTACTCCGGGAACCGCTACCTAGTGTACAAGTTGACCATGGAATTCATATACGGTGAATATATATATATATTTAACAACTGACTTTCGAAACAGCGAGCCTGCTTGCAAGGCAGTTTGCAGTTCTGACTGAAGGGAATCGAGTGTCCCCCACCGATGAGCACACTGATCTACTGGAAGTTCCGGCATTTATTGAAACAAAGCTCGAGCACTTCAGCCCAAAGTGCGCTAGGAAGCCACAGTCATGGTCCCCCAAGAGGATCGCCATGATCCCAAACCTCATTGTTCGCATGATTGGAGACGTTGCGCACGGGAGATAACACATATGGTCCGTTGTTCATATTGCCACCTAGACAAATCGATGAAAGCGAACCAAATGCATGCTAGTAACGCCATCCCTTCTGGACTTGTGAGGTCCATGACATGGCGGCCATGTTTCTTCCATGTCCCTCCGGGCCCTTTTTCAGAAGAGGTTGGGTTCATGAACAAAATATCCAATTTTGCTGCCCGTTTCCCAGCGTAGGCCATCATCCTGGTCGCCTCCGCCTTGCCTGCGAAGAACTCGATCCACTGGAGAGGCGTTTCCTGGCTGCATGCTGGCAAGACCCAGTGACAGGCACTCAGGGTGAAATGGCTTCATGGCTTGCGCAGTCAATCAAATTTGGATCAATGTTTGCATATAGAGAACTTCTTAATTTAGTTCGAACTCGTAAATGCCATGTAGCGTACTAGTACACACGCATCCATGCACATATATTCATACACCGGGTCCTTCCACTGTGCTTGTTCGCAAATTTGCGGCAGCGTCCAGATGCATAAAAGCACAGCCAAAATGAACACCTCAAAAGAAACAAAGGAGCTTGAAAATGAAGGAGATCATCCAAAGGTATATAGGCCATTGGAGTCCATGTTCATGCAGTTCAAACAGCTCATGGCTAAGCTATGTACTTTGGGGGCTCCAATCTTCTCCAGCCGGTAGACCAAAGCAGGCGTCTTTGAGGGCTCAAAAACCATGGCTGTGAACCTGAAACCTTGACCGCGGGACCTTCACAGGCTGTTTGTAGAGCAAAGTGGGCAGCACATGTTCTTCTACGCGTGCTATACTCGACTCACATCCTGCTCTATGTTTTGAAGAGGTGCATGCATAGAAACACACGATCCAAAGTGCACCTTGAAGTAGTATATACAACAGAACGTTTATAAGCTATATAGTTTCACGACCCTCCAAAGCTGAAGCTGAATGCTCGATGGAAAAAAACCAGGCAGGCACACCATCATCGTGCTTCAGAAAGCCTGCCTTGAGCAGGCCCTTGCACCCACGCAGTGGCATTGGCCTGAGCCAGCATACGGGCTCAGTCAACACGGAAGCATGTTGGGGACAGTAGACTCCATGTAGCAAGTGGTGCTCTCAGCATTGTACATTTTCCTGTGGCCTGCTCACCTATTAAATATACACCTTTTTCCCTTCTCCAGATCGCTGCACAGCTTGACACCCCGTACTGGCATGAGGGTCGCCCCATGCAACATACCAGAACATGTGCATAGACACATGTTTCCCTAATGGTTCAAAATGGCGCTGGACCCTCCCCTGGCATGATGCTTCCACGACTGGTTCCAAACATTGCTTAACAGGTATGGGCCTAGCTAGCATATATCCAAAACAATACTTCCTGCACACTGCTTATAGCACTTGCACACACGCACACACTTGCACGATATAGCATCAGCCACCTAAAGGAGGTCATCCATCCAAGGCCCTCATCGCATTATGTTTCACCTTAGCTTGCTCCTGAAAGAAGTCCTTGGTAAAGTCCTCTTCTGCGTGGATAGTTGGCTGCTCTACCATCCACAGTGCCTGAGTGGTTTCGGTCGTATAGTTCAATATTTAAAACAACTGACCCTTTACCAACCTTGGAGTTTAGCCCAAATCGTTTTTTTGCAAATAAACCGAGGCAAGCTACAAACAAGGACGCAGCCAGGTAATTCACAGCCATTCGACGGTTCCAGTCTTGCCCTGCATCCGAACGACCTTTGAGAGCGAAGTAGGCCACCTGAGGGGTGCTGGGCAAGACCATCCATTTCAAGCCCACTGCACAGCGGCCCCAATACGTGCTCAAGCTGACCCTCTCAGACCCCTTGAAAGGGCCATTGGCCACCAAGAAAGCTTTGAGGTCTTGCAATGGCATGTCCTTGACCTGGTGGGGAATGCCAGACACAATCGCATTGTGCAGGTAATCATCCACAAGGTCGAAAGCTGTGATTGGATCCTGCTCTTCCACCTGCTGCTTGGCACGCTTGGAAGGCTTTGCCTTCGCAGCCTTGGCCTTCGCAGCCTTGGCCTTTCCCTGTGCCTTCGGCTTGGCTTTGGCCTTGCGGCTCGCCTTCTGGTCCAGCCTTGCCACCAAATCATCCAAGATGTGGTGACTTCGGCCGCCCTCCCCCTCACCCTTTGGCTCCTCAGCGGCCTCATCGAACTCTTGGCTCAAATTCCGCTTGGCACGCCCACGGCGGCGGGCTCCTGCATCTGCATGCTTGTCCTGCTTTGATGAGCCGCTGGCAACTTTTTTGACAGCAGCACGCCGCTTGGGTGTGCACTTCACCTTTGGTGACAATTTGGCCTTGGCCTTTGCCTTGGCCTTGGGCTTGGCCTTTGCCGCAGCAGGCTTGCCACGAGCTTTCCCCTTGCCCTTCTCCGCTCCGGACTCTTTCCGATCCTCCGGGGCTTCCTCCTCCTCCTCTTCCTTCTCCTTCTTCTTCTTGGCCATGTCGATTTGGTCGCGGCGAGTAAGAACGGGGAGCTCTTTGGGAAGAGGCATCAACTGCGTGAAGGCGTCGGCCTGAATGGCAATATGTGCATGTAAATTTGCAACAAAAGTCTCGAGATTGATGATACCTTTTCCAAATGAACCAGGACAGTGTGTATAAGGATTATAAGGATCGAATGAATGAGCCAAAGTTTGTATGCACTTTTAGTCGAGGTCTTGGACACAAACATTTGCACGCGTGCATCTGTGTGTTGAGGGATTGATGGTGCCTGCCTTGTCTCGCCCGTTGTCTCCACCTTCCGGCACCATAGACTTGGCCTCGACCTTTGGGTTCTGAAGTGGAGAAGCTAGCACGCCGTTCCCACCACCCAGCAAAAGATCCTCTTGAGAGTCATGTGGGAGGCTTGGGGGATCAATGCGCCCGCTCGCCATGGGCTGCGTGTCATCACCATCATGGGCATATCCTGCGTCCATTCATGAGGAACAACGCACCCATTCAAACTATAAAATGCATGCATGAAGTTCACACACACTCCCTTGATCGCCCTTAAAATTTTAAGATGTTTGACTGCGAACATGCGCGTTGCACGATCAAAGACTGTCCTGGTACAGAGTCTGCTTTCTTGCTGGGGCTGCTTTCCAACCTCGAAAGACAAATCGACACATGTGCACATGCAATCAAAGGCTGTTGGGTCGAAACGCTTTCAAAGGGATTGAAGAAGTGCTGCAAGCAGGGCAGGTTTATTGAAACCACACTTGGATCTGGGCATAAAATGTCCGGACAAGCCAAGGTACTGGTTGCTGCTGGCAAGGCGTTGCATAATCAACGCCTTCTTCTTCTCAATTCGCTTCTTGAGTTCCTCGACTGCAGCTGCATCACCTCACTTGGATCGAGTTGTGCGACTGTGCAAGTGAAAGCTGTAAAGCCATATATAGTCCATATGTCCACATAGGTTTCAGAGCCATATTAAAAGAACCAAAAACATGCACGCATGCAATTGTGCATGTACTTGATGAACCGAGTGGCAAGGCATGTTGTCCTTGAATCCTTTTGGGCTAGCAGAGGGCAAAGACAAGGGCATCGAAGGCGGAGGTGCAGGCTCCGAAGGTTGCGGGCCAGCTGCGGCAGCACTGGGCCCACCACTTTCATGTGACTCAGGAATTGGCTGAGGAGCTGCCGGCAGTTTGGAGCCACCAGGACTGTCGGTGAGAGTTTCGAGCCACTCTTTGAAATGGGCAAGGTCACCAGCCGATTGATCACGAAGGTCCTGCCCCCAATCAAGCTCATCATATTCGCCGTCCTCAACTTGGTTGCCATCACTGAACGACGGACCTTTGTTCATTTTCTCCTTCATGTAGGCATCAATTCCGTCCTGACTGAAGGAAAGTGATTGAGCGAACCACAAGTCTCAAACCTTAATCCATATATACCTGTTAAGTCGAAAACCATCGAAAACCTACTTATTTTTTTCAGGTCGGAAGGGAATAACAAGTGTTCTTCATTATACAGCTTTATTTTTTTTGACTGCCTTTGATTTTGAAGAACCTCTCCTTCAAGCCTTGATCCAAAGCCAGCAAGAGTTCATGAAAGCGGATGTCCTGAACAGGGGATGAATAACCCATGTGGTTTGTTCGTATTGCATATAGCTTTGTAGGGGCCCTGGATCCCTAGCATCATGGAAGAACCCTGCAACATAAATAGCACACGCTACATGGTTATGACCGCTCCTTCGTGTATTCATGTCTGTTGGCCTTTCTTTTCACAAAGCCCACTAGCTTCTTGATCTCCACGGCATTCTTCCAAATCATCTTGCTCTCAGTGGGATTACCACAAGCCACCAAGAACTCCCCAATCTCCCCCTGCAAGGGAGCCAAGCATGGCAGCGCAAACCCCTCAACCAAACTCAGCCGGCGAAGAACGGGCAGCAGCACTGCCCTGTTTGCATTGCAATTGGCACGGGTAGGCATGACCCACTCCTGATTTTTCTCACCCTTAACCAAAAGTTGGCCACTCTCACGGACCCTCAACCGAAGAAGGCCATCGCTCTCCCAGTCAACAGCCAGGCCCGAGGAGTCAAACTTACTACCCATCTAGAAGACCAAAAAGATCGATGGGGAGTCAAACTAAAGGTGATCGAGCCGCAACAGCTATTGCATTGCAGCACTGACTCGCGCAGGATTGCTGCCACATGCTGCTGCAAATCCTTTGATCGTTCAATCGATCTAGAAAAAATGAGCTCCGGGCCGGCTTCAGGGAAGTGGAGGCAAAGGGGGCAGCATGGCTGCCCAGTGGGTGAACAAAACAAGTTGTGTGCTTGCTCTATGTGCTGGAACCCTTCAAGAGGATGTGGTTAAGCATCAAGCGTATGCGTATGAACTGTTTCGCTAAATCTCGATTGATTTGTTCAGCAAACAAAGCACTTCTCCACTTCTAACAGATGCCCGGAACCATCCTGAACGGGCAGGTCCACTTTCAGAAGTCCTCCGGCGTCCAATGCTCCTTCCAAGAAGGCACTTGTTCCAGGTTTATGCAAAAACCTGGTTTTTTTCTTGAAAACCTGGTTTTTTGATAAAAACCAAGTTATTCCCTTCCGACCTGAAAAAAAGTAGGTTTTGGACTTACCAGGTATATATATGCCTAATACATGGAGTGGAGTGCCTGTGATAGTTTTAAGAATTGAAGGAGACCGTGCGTGCATCACGACACCACCCCAGGCATAGTTCTTGCCAACACCTAGTCCCAAAAATGTCTCCAATGGATCACAATGGTACCCCTGCGAACTTTGGGACACTGACATGTGCTGAAAACAATTCGAAGTC